AATGATTGCTTTAGAAACGTCTGTTGTTTGCTTGTACCTATAGGTCTTGGTTCACTCAGGTTCTGTTTGGCTCAATTGAAACCAGCTTGGTTTTAGTATCATATGACCTTTCCTTGTAAAATATTAATGACCAAAAACTCGGAAATATTGATATTGATATTTCGGTCACAGACCTTCGTCGGAATTGCTAACGACGAAAAGCACCGACCTTGCTAACGGAATAGCTAACGACATTAGTAATTTCGACGAAGATCTGTGATCGAAATATCAATATCAATATATCCTTTTTGGTTATTAATATTTTACGAGGAAAGGTCATATGATACTAAAACTGCTTTTACTAATGTTCTTCGCACAAGCGCTCAACAACATGAAACCAGCTTGGTATCAAATAAGCTTGAAGAGATAGCAAAGGAGTGCTATATAAAAATGATGCATATTTTTCCTGGCATAATTTTGTCATATTTATCGTTAGCATGATTCTTCGCATAAATGAACGCCTGCATAAGGGACTCGTTTTTATCGTAATAGCCCAATGACACGTCCTATACAACATCTAACTCAATAATGTCGGGAGAAAGGTGTCTACGTTTTGTGATTCTTCGAGTACTGTCACGTGTGCACCCGGTCAAAAATAAGACACGTTATGTATTAGCCGTTTTCACGACGGCCATCTGCACTGGCGCACATTTTGTAAATATTAGGTGCAGATTTGGTCAAATTAGGTGCATTTGCCAGATAACCCGTCGTGAAAACGGTTATTATTGGCGTGTCCCATGCATGAAAATTACCGTGCAAGAGCATGCTACGCTATGCAACTCCATAGAACTTTGCCACTAGACGTATTAACCACTGCATGGTGTCCTTGCCCCATCTCACTACATGATGATAAAATGCCAGTCCAGAAGTTTCGCGAGAATAGCTGTCAGCATGGCTGTCTATCCGTCACGTAGCACTCGTTTATCTTAGTCCACGCCGCCTTAAAACAGCACTCAGCAACTCAGTCGTCTGTTGCAGTAACCAATGGTCTCACTTTGTTAGACAAGTTCATTGGCATGAGACGACGAGTTTCCGTTTAACCCTCGCCGGACCTATTGGTTTTCTACATACGCGCCGGCCGAGGGGGGGGGCGGGTACGACCCCCCCCCTCACCGTTTCGCCCCTGGTGGAGCTAGCGCGTCGCGGAAAAAAAACGAGCGTGTGCGCCGTTACGAGACGCAGAGATTGGTACCCGATTTTAAGGTCCTAGGTCAACCGGTGACCTCTGAGGTCAGGTCAAGTGCCCCAAGGTACGGTTCAGTTTTTGGTGAATAACTTCGCAAAAAACGGCCGCAGAGCCGCGATTTTGGCAGCATCGTGTTCGCCTCGCTCAGGCGCGTCGAATGATATACTTTTTGTCCGGGTCAGGTCAACTTGGGGTGTTGACCTCAGGTCAAGGTCAGGTCAGCACCCCCAGGGCACGAAGTTGGTCGAAAGAGGTCATGTCGCATATCATTCGATTCGGTAGGTCTTCCTGAGTCCATTGGTGGCTTTCCCGACTCGCTAGCTCAATTTAATCAGGAGTTATTGACGAAAAACTAATGTGACCTTGATGACGTCATAGATGACGTCACGCAAGGTCAACATTGCATAAGTGACGCATCTAACCTTGCAAGGAGTGCATAAAATCACGATTCTGTGTGCTTGAGATAGTTGGAGATCGTTCCCGGCGCCAGAATAGCAGTTTTCATTTTTCCCCATTGACTTATAATGGTGAGGTCACGAAAATGACCTGACCTCATATGACCTTTAGGAAAAATCCGAGATAAACAAGTTGTGAGACTCATAATGGATATTAGATCCTGCAAGTTTCATTTCCCTGTGACATCTCCTCTGGCAGTGAGGGCGTTGCGAAGTTGCGACATCTGGAGACCGTGCAGAGGTTCACTTATGACGTCATAGGTCAGTGACCTGACCTGACCCAAAAATGCGGTTGGTGTCAAAGATGCGGCTTGGATCAAAGGTCAGGTATGCCAAGTTTCAGCTCTCTATCGCCAGCGTGTTTGGAGCTATCGCGAAAAAACCCTATGGGGGGGGGGGCGGCACCCGCCCCCCCCTCGGCCGGCGAGGGTTAACTGAGCTCGTAAGCGAGTTACAGCAGAAGGTGTCAAAAAGTAAAACATCCCACAGGACGCTTCCGATTATTATGTAGTGCCGGCCTAATTGAACGTCATTGGGAAGGCGGTACAGAACGGCGTGAAGCTTTGTGCTGCCGTGGATCGTTAGCACGACTACGTGACGTCGCCAATATCTTAACTAGAATAAAAGTTATAGTACATATACCTCTAGCGTTTTCTAGCAAACTTTTTAGTTCTAGAACCCCCGCCCCCCAAAAAAGAACTTTATTACTTCTACTTTATCAAAACAACACAGGGGAAAGATTGTGTATTAATCCACCCAATCTGTAAATTTGATAAAATATACCAAAGAAGTCAATCGGCAAGGAACTGGAGCTCGCACTAGCCGACCCTGTGGTCGGTCGCCTTATGGCAGAAGGACTGGCCGGGCACGCGTTCACACTCAGGCTTCTTGCTCTCTGCTGAGCTCGCCGCATCATGCCGGCTTTTGGCGGCCGGCATGATTCCACAGGAGTGTCGCCACGCCTCGCACACTGAAAACAATTTAACCCAAGGCCCGCGAGTAAACCAGTTTTTTTGCGGGTACCCCTATCCGCAATCATTTTTAATTAACCACCCTCCCAGGAGTACAGTAAGGTCCCATTGCAGTGTAGTCGTCCCTGCTCTCAGCGGACTTGTTCGCTGACAGCGGTTATATCCGCTCAGCAGAGCAAGTACGACTACACCGCAATGGGACCTAGCACTACTCCTGGAAGGGTGGTTAAAACTGGTTGCGGATAGGGGTACCCGTAAAACACCGGTTTACTCGCCGGCCTTGGGTTAAATTGTTTTCAGTGCAGACTTGCATACTCTCCTTAGGGATTTCTGTAACCTGTAGCCTGACCAGCTAGTAGAACTCATCTCGGCCGACCATTGGCTGCTATGGGTGTGACGTCATACAGTGTGCTGGCCAATGAGTGAGGGTGGTCCGGCTGTGACGTCATCTACTGAGTAGACCAGCTGGTTAGCGCCGGAAGTGCGATTCTCGTGGAACTGAAGGAACGTTAACTTGCCACCGGACGAGTGTTATTGACATCAGAATATGGGAAAGCATCGTAAACTTTCCAAGTGCGCAGGTCACGACTGAAAGCTGAATTCAGTTGCGAACTGGGTTCCCATGAGTTTTATCGGCGAGTGCGCCGAAACGTTGAACTAACTCCTAGTTGAACGGAAGAATAAATCAACGTAAATAGCCCATCTTCAAAACTTCAAATAGTGCGGAAAGTTTGTTGTGCGCCAGCGAATGGAACTGACAACTACAGTTAACAGTTAAAAACGGTTGTAGACACAGTTAGCTTGCGTAGGTTTTCATTATCTGCAATAACTATTGTTCAGCTTCAGATGCCTACTTACGTCATCATAAGTCTGGTGCTACGCTCAACAATTGCTGGAGCCCTATCTCATTCGGACCGTTTCAAGGCCATGCTTTTATCTAAGAAAAGAAAAGGTAAAGACTTATGGGGCGACGAATAATGGCTCTTCACTTCGCGCAGTTGGCAAAGCACTCGACGCTCGTTAATTGGAGCGGGATGCAAATGCGCGAAAGCTCAGACTCTTGACAAGCGCTTTATAACACTTCTAGAAAAATTGCAACCATTTAAAACCATTGAGCAAGGAGGGCCTGGTCCCGAATTGTAAGCGAAACCCAAGAAGAGGCACTACGGTGCACTATTTCTTCCAAACATCGGTTAACTATGCTAAATAAAAGCAATAATCTTACACCCGCTTTTATTTAGAGAATGAACTTCACCTTTCAAGAGAACTGCGAGTCTTTTCTTTCTCTTCAGCTTTGTCGTTATACAAAAACTTTGAAAATCACATGTGAATGTCATTGAGGTCTGAGGGGAGATAAAAACTATGGATTTATCGTTGCAAGTCGTATTGGTCAGAAGAAAGGTTTCATGCATGCAGCTTATTTCGGCGACCGACAGCACGCATTTAAATATAATCGCACAGTTGGCTAATGGAGACATTTCTATTAGCTAAGTGCCTTTTAAATATTGGATACTTTTCATTGAACTGCAATGTCGCCGTTTATCGCGACGGTTAAAATAAAAATGTCAATAATTTTTATCTGTATATTTCCAAAATTTTCCCCAAGGTAAGAAATTATCCATTGGGAAGAATTATTGCTACGTGGACTGGTGGTTAACCACTTGGTGCACTTGTGCACTGGCCATCAACAAAAATGGGTGAATGACATACAGTTGTAGTATAGACTATAGGTGTTACCCAATCGCCCAACGTCCATTCTAAGGCGGTGCATTGAACAATACTGGGCATAGATGTAAGGAAAATATTCATCGCAAATTTAAGGAAATTCGCATTCTTAGAATGTCTGGCGAATGCATTGACTTGATTGTACCTATGAAGCAAATTCATCGCTTGCCTATGCTCGTAAGAGCCTTTTCTGCCATGCATGCTATCTCGTTGTAAGCGTGCTGTAGTCCATAAAAATTGGGCGTTATGAATATACGTATATGTACTTATAGCTAAGACTGCTAGGCTATATTTGTTAAATTAAAATTGGAGCTAAATTAAGGACTCCACTTTATATCGAATTAAAACACATATCAGCACCAGCAGCTGTGTGCTTGAGGCCAGCAGACAGCCAACCACCGGAGGTTATTATTTATTCGTTAGGCTTTTTCAATCACCACATGTAACTTCCTTTTCAGGTTGGTAAGCTGACTATCCCATACAGACACAGAAGGTTTTCTGGATTAATCCCAAAAAGACCTAGACTTCCTGCACACAACAGAAGCCTGTTCTAAGCTTTGTGCTACAAGTCCTTGTCAAGGAGTGGCACGTCACCAGTTGCTTCACCACCCTGCAGCCACTGACCTTGTGAACATGATGACGCCCACGGTGGTGGGGTCGGCCTCCAGCGCCTTCCACGTGCGCTGCAGCAGCCTCTTGTCGTCGCCGGTGAGCGGCGGCGGCGGCTCCGGCGAGCGCTGCTCAGCCGCCGAGCCGCCGCGAGAGCTCGAGGTGCAGATCGACTTGGTGCTGCCGTGGTACGGACGAGAGGAGCGCGTCTGACTGGCACCCATCACTCGACGGCGGGTTGTGGAGGGTCGCGGTGGGTCGCGGCTGGTCGCGGCTGGTCGCGGCGGGTCGCGGTGGGTCGCTTAGTGTCGCGTCCGGTCGCGTCCTTTCTCGCCGGCACCGCGTCGCCGACTGAGCCGACTAGGTACAGCGTCGGTCACGACGGGGAGTTGCGCCGACAGAGCGATCGTCACCGACGGTTGCCGTCACAGAGCGATCGTCGTTGGTGACTGTAGGGGCGTCATCGCCGACGGTAGGGTCGTCGTCACCGATGGTTGGGCGTTCTTCACCGACGTGACGGAACCAATGAACAGTGGTGTGATTGGTGACGCGAGTTGAAGGTTTAATTCAAGAAAGGAGAGTCAAGAGAGAGAGAGAAAGAGAGAGAGAGAGAGAGAGAGAGAGAGAGAGAGAGAGAGAGAGAGAGAGAGAGAGAGAGAGAGAGAGAGAGAGAGAGAGAGAGAGAGAGAGAGAGAGAGAGAGAGAGAGAGAGAGAGAGAGAGAGAGAGAGAGAGAACGGACAGGAAAAGAATAGTTTGCAATTTGCAGATTGGATTCAGTTCGCTTTAGGCTATTTGCTCAAGAAAATAGATTTAATTAAATTGAGATAATGGCGGTGAAAAAAAAAAATTAAGCCGTATCTCCCAGAGCATAAAATGAAGTCGAAATGAATCTTTCGAACTCGAGGAGATAAAACGGTTATTGATAACCAGAAACCGATACCATTTATGGAGGTTAAAGGAACCCGATGGAGTATGTGTAAGACGGAAATAAAATGCACACGCATAGGAGTCAGACAATGGCTCTCTTGAGTCTTTGGTGTAGTCTGCTAGTTTGAGTTCTCTTGAGTCTTTGATGTAGTCTGCTGGTTTGAGGAGTAAGAACAGAGCACTAACATAACAGGCGTTCAGTGCCTCTGCGCTGCTGGTTCAATAGCCAAGCTCCATCGCCGAAACATCGCCTCTTGAATGTTTTGCAGGTGTGTCAGAGCGCAACAAGCAGCCGCCTTTGTAGTGCCGGATCAAAGGAAGGTTGGGCTTGAAACAAATGAAATAGATAGTTTTACATAAGCCTGTGAATGTCAGGCGATTGGTGACATTTCTTTTTTTAGCCTTTTTTGGAAAGGCGCGAAATATTTCGATGATATTTTCATCTTTTTTAAGTTTGTCATCAAAAGTGTTTATTAATTGTCAAATGACTATTGCAATTTGCATGCATATTTTTGTCACCCGAAATACACATAAGGTTACTCATTTGAGTTTGTGGGTGCTTTGATAACTGAGTTACGCCTTTACCGTTTGCGGTTTGATAAAGCTAGACATCATTTGGTTTTCTTTTTCAAAAGAAGATATCAGTGGCAAAACTCGTACCTACTCTCAACTATGCAGATCGTCAAGTATCCATAAAAACATCAAGACATATTTTTACCCCGCGTAAAGATGCAACAATAAAGTACAAGATTGAAGCATTCGAACTGAATGCAATTTACGGTAAGTTCAATAGTGAGCATGAATGAGGTTATCTTACAAAGTGTGAAATCTGAGTGGAGATTTGCATCTCCTGCACCTGAAAATGGCCTTTTGTTAAAATCATCCTGATTGAGGAGGCAGATATAATCCCGCCTTCCAAGCAGCTAGGGCTTCTTGTGTACATAACATAGCGAACCGATGTTAATTTACGGGATTAAACGCTAGGCGACTTTGGGAGGCGACCGCCCACTCTGGTGCCAGTGTGGCCGGCGCGGCGCTCTCAATAATTGTCACCTGACGTACCCCACCCCTCCGCTAGACTTTCCGCGTCTCCTGGAACGCTTTCCGCGCTGTTTGAGACTTTGATGTGCCCCACGCATTGTTCGAAGACTCCTTTCCGTCTAAGGTAATCACAAATTAATGGGAGTCCTCCAATGTCGCACTGCGCACTTTGCAACTTAAAGGGGATGTCTGTATGTTAACCCGCGTCCCGTAGGGCTATTAGCGGACGGTGGTGGACGGTAACGGTGGATCCATCAAGCCTGACCGAGGAAGGGCCTGCCAAATTTGATTCACCGAAGCAATTGACATCCTCTTCCATTCCCCCGGTCAATTGGTTCGGTGACTTTCAAATTATAGCAGGCCCTTCCTCGGTCAGGCCTGATGGATCCACCGTTACTTAACGCGATACTTTTAAGACAGACTGTACATACAGCCATACAACGCCCGGCCCCACCAGAAGGATCCTAGCGCGCTGAGTAGTTGCCTCCAGCCGCGTCATCGCGAGGCCCCGCGAGGCCCATAACTGAATCAGTGTTGCCGCTATGGTACGATTGTACCAGATCTGGTACATTTCAACACTTTCTGGTACGCTGGTACACTGAGGCCCAAATCTGGTACATTTCACGGTTTTGCGCAAGCATTTCTTTTTTACGTTAAATTTATATATTTCTGCCTCCAAAAATCAATCAGAATCAACATTAAAACGAATATGCTGTAACAGGAAGACCACTTCAATAAGCATCTTCCTAAGCATATTCCTATAGTTCGTTTTTTTTTCAAAACCGGTTTGAATCCAAGTACATTTTTCGACTAAGCACGCGTTTTATCCAGCGAAACGATAAAAAACCACCGACGTAAAAAGACCTATGGAGAGGGCGGCAAACGGATAAACAGCATCAGCTTCCAACGCCGATTTCATGTACTTATGTTCCCATCGGTCCTTATCGATGGCCATTCTCACATACAAAATGAAACGGCCGAACGTTTGAATCCAATATATGATGAATTTTGTCTTCATTAAGCCGAAAAACGGGTTAGAAAAATGACTAGTTTGTGTGTTAAAGGGACCATCCCACCTTCAAAAATGTAAATGAATTGGCATGAAAGTGATGTCGCTCGGTTCAGAAAGAGCGAAAACGAATATCTACCAAATTTTATCGAAAAATATTCACTGGTTTTCAAGATATTAGACTTTTACTATTGTTTACTTTTTGGGATCTCCGCTGTTCCTAGCGACTTTATTTGAAAGTGCGGCATTTGTTGCGCGCAAAGCAGCATATACCACCGCGTGCTACCAAACGTTTTAGTAAAAGATTTAAAAATCGTTAATCTCCGCTGACGTCACAAATTCTAAGGGGGCACACCAATGCATTAGCCCCTTAGAATCCGAAAACTGCAAGATTGAAATTCCATATCTCCGAATCAAAGCATTTTTCGATGTTTTGAGTGCCCAAACCGGTGTTTTCAGGCCATGGCCACCAATTTGGCTATCTCAACTCAAAACTTATGTTAAGGTGGGTTGGTCACTTTAAGCCACCGTAGGAATATTAGCTGCCAGCTGCCACCAGTGACGTCATCATAGTATGACAATTTTTGAAGATACAGTTTGCATGTATTTAACGAGCATAATTTGAAATTGAATATTTTACCGGTAATAAATTATTGGCCAGACGCTGAAGTTTCAAAACTAACGTGAGAGCTTCGATAATGAACTTGGAGCCAAACCGATGTTGAATAAAACGAACTCTAACTATATTCCTTAGCAATAAAGTAGGTATGAGAAGTTACAATTATTGTTAGCCTGACTTACGTAACATCAATGCGGTTAAAGCAAATCATATTTATATTATGAAGTGGATACGGACAGCAGATGTCGCATACATCCAAATATGAGCACCAAACACAGGAATTGACCGGAATTGATGTAGAATCTTGCTGATCTATGACGTTTTGGTGTATTTTATACAATGGTACATAACTTGGTACATTGGCATACCCCATATGGTACGAAATAGGTTCGTTTTGGTACATTTTCATTCAGAATCTGGTACGTGTCGAAAATTCCCAACGGCAACACTGAACTGAATACGTTGCGTGAATAGCCGTGTCGCCCCCTGTTTCAAGGTTTTGTTGAAAGTTTGAAGGCATTCTTGTCGAAGTATGCATTTGCACCCATGCATTTCTCAACCCATCTCACATTCGGCACGTGAGCCTGCGAGTCATTGTGCTCCTGCAGTTCGCACTCATGTATGTACTGACTACAGTATCTACTACATACCTACTCTACACTTTATGGAGATGCCATGCTTTGATCAACAAACAGTTGTTTCAACTTTCCAACTTGATCTGGCTCTGGCCCGTGTTTTCTCTTTGACACAGGCAGCGATCGAACGGTGGCCCCCACAGGTCCCATACCGAGTGGTGCTCATGTAACCAGCTAACGTGACCGGCCGGTATGGGCACGTGCAGGAAGACATGTGACCTGCCGCACCGAGTTTGGCCGAGTACCAGTTTAGCGACGACTGAGCCGAGCGGGGGTTCGGGAAGATAATGTCAGCAGTGATGCGGATGAACGACCGCAAATGCAAAACCATTTGTTTGTTTTTCAAGGCACATCGAAATAAGAGGCTGTCAATTATTGGCAGGTTAAACTTCAAGCGGCGACGTGCACATATGCATTAACCCTATTAGTGGCAGGCTCCTGGCTACCCCATATTAGTGGCAGGGGGGGGGCTGTTTACGACCCCCCCTTGATATCTCGAGATCTAACCGGCCGATTTTCAAAATTCAAACGGCATTCGATTTGGCTCAACGAGATCTACATTTCTAAAAAAAATTAAAAATGTCAATAGGGGGGTAGAGGGGGGTAAAAACGGGCAAATTGCAGATACATTTTAGACTGTTTATCACGGCCAGGTTTCTGAACCAATCTTAACGCAACTTTTGCCGATCGATAGAGAATGAACCAGGAATTCACATGGATCCTAAAAATATGCATTTTCAAAAATCATAGGCGGATACAGATCATTGAGATTGGGGGTACACAAAAAGTATAGTAAATAAGGTTTTTGTTGGTACTGTTTTTAAGAAGGGTGGCAATGGTCTTGTTATGTTACAATTTTCTTATGAGAGAACGACTAAAATTGTATTGGTCATGCATAGGCGGTGTCAGGGCACCTATGTTGGGAGGTAAAAATAACCCCCCTTTTTGGACGCCTGGATCCGCCTATTATAGCAAAAACGTGTCAAAAGAGGATGCACAATAACTTTGTATATGTTATCACATGATACCTTTCATTCACTGTTCGTAAAACTGGTGCAGCATCGTGATCTTCGCCCAAATGACTCGCTTCACGAATAGGACCCCCCCAATTCCCAGTGCTCTGGAGCCGCCCCTGGTAAAGTTATGAATTTGAAATTTTCAGGGAATGTGCCCAATTTAGTTTTAGGAAAAGTCAGAAAATTTCAGCATCGTAGCTTTAGCGGTTTCGGAGATATTCC